TCCACTCCAAAACTACTAGAACTAATATCTGAATTCAGTAAAGTTGCAGGATACAACATTAATACACAGAAATCTGTTGCATTCCTATATACTGATGATGAACTAGCAGAAAGAAAAATCAGGAAAACAATTCCATTCACAATTGCATCAAAAAGAATAAAATACCTAAGAATAAACCTAACCAAGGAAGTGAAAGACCTATACCCTGAAAACTACAAGACACTATTGAGAGAAATTAAAGAGGACACTAACATGGAAATACATCCCATGCTCATGGATAGGAAGAATTAATATTGTCAAAATGGCCACCCTGCCTAAAGTGATCTACAGATTCAATGCAATCCCTATCAAAATACTGACAGCATTCCTCAACAACCTAAAACAAATAGTTCTAAAATTCGTATGGAACCACAAAAGACCCTGAATAGCCAAAGCAATTCTTAGAAGGAAGAATAGAGCAGGGGGATCTTGCTTCCCAACTTCAAGCTCTGCTACAAAGCCACAGTAATTAAGACAATTTGGTACTGGCACAAGAACAGACCCACAGACCAGTGGAACAGAATAGAGAGTTCAGATATTAACTCAAACATATGGTCAAATAATATACAATAAAGGAGCCATGGACATACAGTGGAGAAATGACAGCCCCTTCAACAGCTGGTGTTGGTAAAACTGGATGGCTACATGTAAGAGAATGAAACTGGATCATTGTCTAACCCCATACACAAAAGTAAACTCGAAATGGAGCAAAGACCTGAATGTAAGTCATGAAACCATAAAACTCTTAGAAGAAAACATAGGCAAAACTTACTTGAATATAAACATGAACACTTTTTTTCATGAACATATCTCCTGGGGCAAGGGATATAAAAGAGAAAATGAACAAATGGGACTACATCAAACAAAAGCTTCTGTACAGCAAAGGACACCATCAGTAGAACAAAAAAGGCATCCTACAGTATGGGAGAATATATTCATAAATGACATATCCAATAAGGGGTTGACATCCAAAATAAATAAAGAGCTCACGCACCTCAACAAACAAAAAGCAAATAACCTGATTAAAAAATGGGCAAAGAATCTGAACAGACACTTGTCCAAAGAAGAAATTCATATGGCCAACAAGCACATGAAAAGATGCTCCACATCGCTAATCATCAGAGAAATGCAAATTAAAACCACAATGTGGTATCACCTCACACCAGTAAGGATTGCCAACATCCAAAAGACAAACAGCAACAAATGCTGGCGAGGATGTGGAGAAAGGGGAAACCTACACTGCTTGTGGAAATGTAAATTAGTTCAACCATTGTGGAAAGCTGTATGGAGGTTCCTCAAAAAACAGAAATAGAAATACCATTTGATTTGGAATTCCCCTCCTAGGAATTTACTCTAAGAATGCCAGATCCCAGTTTGAAAAAGACATATGCACCCTTATGTTTATCACATCAGTATTTACAATAGCCAAGAAATGGAAGCAACCTAAGTGTCCATTAGTAGATGAATGGATAAAGAAGATGTACATATATAAATGGAATATTATTCAGCCATAAGAAGAAAACAGATAATACCATTTGCAACAATATGGGTGGAGCAAGAGGGTGTTTTGCTCAGTGAAATAAGCCAGGTGGAGAAACACAAGTACCAAATGATTTCACTCATTTGTGGAATATAAGAACAAAGCAAAACTAAAGGAACAAAATAGCAGACTCACAGAACCCAGGAATGGACTAGCAGTTGCCAAAAGGGAAGAGTCTGGGAAGGGTGGGTGGGGAGGGAGGGATAAAGGGATTAAGGGACATTATGATTAGCACACATAATATAGGGGGGGCACAGGGAAGGCAGTATAGCACAGAAGACAAGTCGTGACTATAGCATCATTAGTATTCTGATGGACAGTGATTATTATGGGTTATGTGGTGAGGACTTGATAATAGGGGGGATTGTAGTAACTACAATGTTGCTCATGTAAAACCTTTGTAAGATTGTGTATCAGTGATACCTGAATTAAAGTACTGTGATGTTGATGTATATAGCATTCTGATACTCGATTTTTGTTTAAACTATTGAAATAACAAACCCAATGACTTTTTTCTCTTTTTTTTTTTGATGTAGCAACAGTATCAGAGTGCTCTATTTTGGGCAGATAAGGTAGCTTCACTCTCACATGGTGAGTGATAAATTCTAATTATTTCTTGATTTCTCTGTCTTTAAAAATCTTATTTGCCTTGCACCTCTACCCATGTTTGTAATTTTTCTCTCCAGAGGAACCCCAGGACATTTACTGGCTGGCTCAATGCCTTTACCTGACCGCACAGTACCACAGAGCAGCTCATGCTCTTCGGTCACGGAAACTGGACAAAGTAAGTGATTGTATGAACTTAAAGCTTTTCAGAGCTTCCTAAAATGTCGTTAGATTATTATATAGGTGTATGTTCTTTTTATGTCAAAATTATTTTAAAGGATTAAATTTTTCTTACTGAATGTAAAGAGAAAATTTCTTATTCTTAATTTCAATCACCTACTTCCCTCCCGACTCCCACCCCCAGTCAAGCAGACTAAGTTTTGAAAATTCTGTTTTCTAAATATTGGGTCTTTAGAAAATATCTATTTCCTAAATATGGACATTCCTTTCCATCTTATTACCAGTCATGCATGTCAAGCCTTTAATTTGTCTCTGTTGTTGTTTTAGCCTCTTTTGTCTCTTTCTATAACATTTTTACTACTTCCCACCTTGGCTGCCCTCTAGTATCTCTTTAACTATGACAGGGTAGTCTTCCTAAAACACACATCTCGTGATGTCACAGTAGCACTCAGTAATTCCCATTACTGAGTGATATCCATTTATAGAATAAAATCAGGTGGATTAATAGATACCCAGGGTCCTTGATAGTCTCTGGTTGGCACCTAGCCCACCAGAATCAGCACGTGTAGCATATCCTCCAGCCCTGCTGACTGCTCGTGGTTCCTAAGACTTGTGGCCACTATTCAGACTCAGTGCCTGGACTGCTGGCCAGTCCCTCCCGCACCCGCCCCTTGGAGAGGTTTTGTTCTTCAGCTGGCTAGCCCTTTGTATGCTCTTCTTTCAAAGTTAAGAAAGAAACTGTGGTGTGTTTTTGTCTCCCCTGCTATAACCTCCTTGAGGCCAGATCATTACTCCTTTTTGAATCCTCAGTTCCTAGTAAAACAGTAGGTTCATGATGAATATAGGTTAAAAAGATTGGATTTATTTTCTTCAACAGTAAAAAGAGAAATTATTAAAATAGCTTTTTTCACTTCATGCTTGAGTTTTCTTTAGACTGAAGATGCATACTATCTTGACCACTTTTATAATAGATTAATTTCTTTCCTAGTTGTATGAAGCATGTCGTTACCTTGCAGCTAGATGCCATGTAAGTACCCTCATGGTTTCAATTTACTTAATAGAAGTTTAATTATATGAAGTTATGCATCCCTTACATGTGTGAGAATTCCAGAGATGGTGCTTGGCAGACTACTAAAACATTTTGTGAGGAAATCCCTTCTTTTTTAAGAATTATTTACGTAAAATACTGAATCTCCATTTATTAAAAGCTGACGTGCATGAAGAAAATTCTGCTTTAGACATTTAAACTTAAATAATAATGGATTTGTATATCTAGCATTAGAAGTCATGAGGGGTGAATGGCATTTCTGTTTTCTACATAGTATGCAGCCAAAGAATACCAGCAGGCCCTTGATATCCTTGATATGGAGGAGCCAATCAATAAGAGATTATTCGAGAGACACTTGAAGGATGAAAGTGGCTTGAAGGACCCCTCCAGTGACTGGGAAGTGTCACAGTCCTCAGTAAGTCACCCTGTAATGCACGTGCTTCTGTAGTGTCAGTCAGAGTTACCCCCATGCCGTACCAAACACAAAGCACCTTCTTTTACTTGAGTGTCACCATGTTAAACAGTTTTGGTGCCATCTTCCTTAATTTGCCCACCCAAACCCAAAAAGATTCCAAAACAAGTATCAGCATCAGTTGGAAGCTGTGATCATGTGCTCATATGCTTGACTTTGAAATCACTGACTTGAGATCTTCTTGTACGGGGTGCCTTAAACCACCCCTTCCTACTGTGCTTTGACAATTTTGTGCTAACCCCTTACCCTCCAAGAAATCTGATTATCTTAAATTGTGTCTTTCTTTCCAGGGAGTGGTTTGGTTTTATTATTTATGTTATTTTTGTACATTTCGGTTTATGGACTTTATGTGTGGGTGAACTGCAAACTCTGTGCTGGCCAAGATTATATAATGTAACAGGAATGGCATACTCCGTTTCACCTATAGTCCAGGAAAGGAAACTGCAGCCAAGAGAAGTTAAAACACCTGTCCAAGGTCACTAGCAAGTGTCAGAACTGGGATTTGTACGCAGGTCTGTCCAGCTCCAGAAAGCCATGTTCCTAACCTCTATACTACATTGTTGCCAGTTGTCTAATATTTACAAGGATTCTTTCCTTGAGATTTGGCTACCAAACTGGCAAAAGTTTGATCTGATATGTTTGTGCTGTTTGCAGTCTCTGAATGTCACCCTGTTTAGGATAGAACAAATCAGGAACAAAGTAGCAGTGACACGCACTCTGGTTGTAAAGATTTTCTGAAGTGAGGAGAGCCTAGGGAAGAGATTAGAGACGTTTGCTTTGTTTTCATGTTTCTATTAATTTATACTATGAGAGTTGGAACAAATCCTTTTAGATGTAAAAGTAAGTCTCAGCCTTTGGGTAATACGTCATTTTTGATAAAAATTAGGTTTAAAAATATTGGCCTAAGTATGTGACTCCTCATGTTTTCCCTACAGATAAAGAGTTCTATTTGTCTTTTACGAGGGAAAATCTATGATGCTCTAGATAACCGAACCCTGGCTACCTACAGCTATAAAGAAGCTTTGAAGCTTGATGTCTATTGTTTTGAGGCATTTGATCTTTTAACATCACACCACATGTTGACAGCCCAAGAAGGTTTGGAAACTCAGGTGTTTTTATATTTAGTGTAATATTGCTTGGATTTTTTTCTCTGAAATCTGTAGAATCAAGAGCAGGCTGTGTACAGGTTTAAGTAGACCTATTAACCTCACTGATGTCTTCAGATATGTAACCCACTGCAGAACAGTGCTGGGCAGTGCCGCTCGCGTCAGAATCATCAGGGCCGGTGACGTGGTGAGGCCATCTTTTTGAGAAGTTATGTGCAGTAGTATAAACCAAGATTTCAGTATCTGACTCAGTGATTCTCAACCTGGCAGCACTTCAAATCCTGAGGAGCTTTGAAAACATGAGTTCAGGTCCCTCCTCCAAACCAGTTTAGTCGGTCTCTGATGGTGGGGCCCTGGCATCTCCCAAATGGTCCTGAGGTTCATCAAGGCCAGAGAACCACTGACCAAGTATGTGGGCAGTAACTCACCATGGGTAGGTGGGAAAAACGGAGAGAAAGTGGGGGGGTGTTGTGTTAATGGAATGCTTCCCGAGGGTGGTTCGCCCCCTAGGGGACAGTCAGCATTATCTGAAGACATTTTTGATTGTCACAGCTTGGGGAGTAGGCGGGAGAGGGGAGGGGCAGAGGCCTCTTCTAGTGAGTAGAGGCCAGCACTCCTGCTGAGCAGCCGGTGGTACAGGGGCAGCCAGCACATCAGAGAAGCGTCAGCACAGAGTGTCAGCAGTGCTGAGGCGGAAACAGTGGCCTGCTGGCTCTTGAGTCTGGCAGTGACCAGACTCACCCGTGAGGCTCCATGGCACAGCCCTCCAGGCGGCTCCCGTCACTGGCATCAGGTGGCAGCCGGCTCTGGAGCCACTGTTATCGTTTCCTATAGTCCATTTTGATCTTGTTGTTTTCTCTTTTGAGTTTGATTTACTTAGTCCAAAAACTATAGAAGCATATTTTTCCATTGCTGACTTTTTCCCCCCATAAATACTATGAGGACATTCTTTTTTTCCTTTACATTTTTAAGAAAAAGAACTTCTTGAATCACTACCTCTTAGCAAGCTCTGTACTGAAGAACAGGAATTGCTACATTTTCTATTTGAGAACAAATTAAAAAAGGTAAGTAAACATACAGAGTATTTGCTTTATGTAAATGTAATATTTCTCCTTAAATTTGGCCTCTGTTCTTTTGCTAGTTAAATTTTAAAAATTATTAATTTAACACATTTGCAAGAATTGATTTAGATTATTTACAGCATATGGTATGATTCCTAAGAAAGCTTCCAAAAATATCTCTTTCTCCAAGGGACTGCTTATAAAAGATTGAACTATCAGATAAATGGAATGATGTTGTGTGAAAATGCGGATGTCTTTTCTAATGCCTCCTGAACTTCTAATTTGTGAAATACTTCCTACCCGGGAATTCTATGATAAAATTGAGATGAGAATCAAAATTATTGAGAGGACCACTGATGAAATTTGAAGTTTAAAAAGTTTCCAGAGGCTCACACGTGTCCTTGTGCAAATCCTTTAAACACTTGGGCCCGACTGAGCCTGCCTTTTGATTTGGTGTTGCTCACCAAGCTCATGTTGACATTTCTCTGTTTCAGTATAATAAGCCTAGTGAAACTGTCATCCCTGAGTCTGTAGATGGTTTGCAAGAGAACCTGGATGTGGTGGTGTCTTTAGCTGAAAGACATTATTATAACTGTGATTTTAAAATGTGCTACAAGCTCACTTCTGTGTAAGTATATCCCCTCCTTTTTGCATAGGAACAGTTCAACCCATTTCACCTAGGAAATGTGTGGGACATGTTTTCTAAGTAATCTTGAACTAATAGATGATAATCTAAGGTACTCTACCATTTGCAGAGAACCTAACGGGGTGTATCTTAAAAGGGCAATTTACAGGCATAGGCTTATGCACCTTCATAGGTTTTTTCCATTAACTTGGGATTATATGTGTCTCTCATACCAGTCTTTGATAATTTGCAAGTTTGAAAAGAGCATTCTGGCACATAGTTGTATAAAATACATTCTTTGATAAGGTAGAGATTACTAAAATCCTGTAGATACTGGGTGCTTAGTCAGGCTCATTAACTAGCCAAACTCTCTCCCCCAACACCAATTTTCGAGCATACGTGGTTCAAACTTGACCTTTAGCTAAATTACATATACTATTTTTAACAGATCTTTTGAATCCAAAAGATCTTAAAATCCTTAAAAATCCTAAAAATTTTAATTGACAAATATATTTCTAATACATTGTTTTTGATCCTAAACAATGAGACTACCTATTTTATTAAATTATGTTTTTATTGATTTAAAGTAAATATGTGTGATAATACTTAATTTGCCCTTTCGCACATAGCCTGATCATTGCCATAACTGCACCAGCCTGGGGTGATGGGGTAGGAAGGCGAGCAGGTGTGGGGATGCCCAGTGCTGTGTGCGGTGCTGCGGTGACGAGCACACTGTAATGAGTCTGATGTGTCAGTCAGTACACACTGGACATCGTACCCTGAGCGTGGTGAGCGTCAGGCCGGTCTCGGTGCTCATGTCCTGCTTCGACTTTCAGAGCAATGGAGAAAGACCCTTTCCATGCAAATTGTCTACCTGTGCATATAGGGACACTTGTGGAGCTGAATAAAGCAAATGGTAAGAATATTCTTAAACAATTTATAAGACCAAAATATTTTCTGTAACTCTTGAAATGGCTCACAAGTTCTGGATAATTGAGATTGCAAGGAACAACATAATGGGTCCTACAGTGAAAGTGACTCTGGGGAAGAAACGGTTATCAAAGTGACCAGTGGCCCAGTGTGTCATCTCAGCAGAGCTCTGTTCTCTCCTCCGTCCTGCTTCCTTTTCCCAAATGGAACTTGTGGCCTGAGGTGTGTTAGGTTCAGTGTGTTGGGGGGCAGTTTTTCCTTTCCTCTCTTTTGCAGTCTGTCAGAAAACTGGTACAGCAGGAGTCAGCAACTGTTTGGAAGCTGGACGGAGGCAGATTTTTTACTTGTGCTTTCCATATTTAACATTTCAAAAACATTGTGTTGTGTTTGGACTAAATTCTCCCTTAAATCTTTTAAACTAAGTTGTGAGCTCTGTCAGGAGAAGGAGAGCCACTGGAATTCCAAGCACCTGCTGCTCAAGGTGTGGTGTATGGGCTGGCGCATCTCGGCTCTTGGAGGCCTGTTGGAGATGCTCCGTCCCCTTGGTCTGGTCACAGCCCAGGTCTGCATACATGTAACTCGAGAAAATTATCTTACCAACTCTGATAAACTCAAGAGTTTGGCCAACCCAACTGGGTGTGCGTGTGGGCATGGTTCATAACAGGCTGGTGGAGTGAGAGAAATGGGTGTTTCAGTGGGTGAGTCTCTTTGAGATGACCCACAGGCTCTGTGCTGTGCCTGGCCACATGCCGCTCACCCAGTTTCCAGTCCCTCAGCAAGAGCTCTGCCCGCTTAGGGGTCTGGTATGGGGTAAGGGGGTTGTGAGTGGGTTGGTGACACAACTGTAGTAACTGCCCCACAGAGATTCTGTATTTCATTAGGCAAATGGATTTTTTTATCTAGAAAGAAAGGAAAGTATGAAATAATTGCTGTGAGAACAAAATTTGTGATCATGAAGAACTGTAACTGGGGGAAAGTTGTATCTTAAAATTCATTTTATAGAATGATTTAATTCTTTTTTTTTCTTTCTCCCTAATGTAGAGCTTTTTTATCTTTCTCATAAGTTGGTGGATTTATATCCTAGTAATCCTGTAAGTAAATATAAATCCTTTTTTTCCCTTGTTGTGTTTTTTTCTCACCTGACTTGAAGAAATGCCTAACACTGTTTAGACAGTAACATATATGTAAGTTCAAGCAAATAATGTTTTGTTTTAAGTTGCTAGAGCAGAATCTCCTAGTGCCTGTGATGACTGGAAAGCAGCGGTAGCTCTTCTGATCCATGAAGGTCTTTTTAAGTTTGCTGAAATAGTAAAACAAAATCCTCTTTTCTGATCATAGAAATTATATATGCTTATTTAAAAATATTTAACATACCAAAAAATAAAATATAAAAGGTGAAAGCCACACTCACCCACCCTCCATAAGTAGCACTAATTCTTGGCGGCTTCCCAGATTGCACAGATAAGGCAACTTACTGAACTGTTCCCTGACTGAATCATTGCATCTCCAAAATTGCTGTAGGTCACGACTAAGACTTAGAAAGAAGTTAAGGTCAGGGTCTAGGTCTTAGACATGAATCTGCCCTTTTAGGCTGGTGTGAAAATGACTTGTAAAGAGGCAAAACCAGTGCAAAGAGAAGTCCGCTAATGGGGTGGAACCAGGGTGAGCCGGGGGGACACACTGCAGGTGGGAAATCAGGACTCAGACTGGTTTTTGACAGCAGGTAGGGTTCAGGAGCCCCATCTTGTCTGGAGTGCTACAGGGACATGATTGAGGGCATCTTGAGGTTGAGCTGAGAAGCATCTGCTCTTCGAGAACCTCAGTCTAGGCCAGAGGTCCGTTACTAGACAGCTGGCCCAGAGAAGTTTCTGATTTTAACTAGACTATGTGGTGGAATGTCTAACCCACTCTCTGGCCTAATTTATTAGAGATGGCCTATTCAAAGTCAAGCACCTTTGGTCATGATAAATTTTGAACATTTTAGGTGTCCTGGTTTGCAGTGGGATGCTACTATCTCATGGTTGGTCATAAAAATGAACATGCCAGAAGATATCTCAGGTATGAATTTATTGCCTTCCTCCCCTGGGGTGAACCTGTAGGAGGTGATTTATTGCTCATCTTCTTTAATACAGTAATTGTTAAGGACTCTGAACACAGTGTGAAAGAATAAATGCCTTCTTTAGCAGCTTCCCTTCAGTTTGCGTCAGTTACGTGCCTCATCTTTATAAGATGTCATGAGGGGAGAGTCCAGTGATCACTGCTGTGCATCTTGTTCCCAAGGAGCTCATAACATACTTGAAGTTTTATTTATAAATAAGAATAAATATGGAACAGTAGAGATTAATAAAAAGTAGTTTGAGAGGTTTTGGTTTTCACTTACGGAAATTCTATTAACCTTTTACTTGAAAGACTTCTTTTGTTAATAGTTTTGAAATTACATGAAATCATACATGAGGTTAGGGTCACTAAAACTGTAAAACGAAATTCTTGGCATAGTAAACTGGCTTATATAAGGATCTCTGGTTTTAGTTGAAGGAACTCCATGCAACTCAGTCAAACTACTTAGCCATTATTATTCATTTATTTAAGAAGAATGTCTAATATGTGAAGAATTAATTACTAAAGATTTAAAGTAATGCCTATGATTTCCTCTGTGTGAACAAAATAGAAAATGGATCTCAGGGAAGTGCATAAACTTTTGACAAGACTTGAATTCTAATCAAGTTCTGATACTTAACTAGCTGTAATTCTTTGGAAAAGATAATTTCTCTGACCCTTTCTTCTGAAAAAAA